CCATGTCATCAAGCTGTCTAGTAGTCACGTACTCGACACCAGGAAACAGCACTTCAAAATAAAAAGCTCTGTGCAAGAAATTCACTGTACTTCAAAATATTAAGTGTGTTTTTTACAAACTTGACACCTTTGAGAGTCACTTGCAGTCCATTCGGAATGGATCCATGACCCACTTTTGGACCGCGACATACCAGTTGGGAACCGCTGCCCTACACAACATAACAACGGAAGTTGTATGTTTTTTTTTTCAGAAATCATTTGTTAGCATTTGTCTGATTAACTGTAATTAATGTGTCAATTTTGAATCACGAGATGTGCAGTTTTAGTGATAACTTGTAGCCTGGAAATCCAGACCCAAATCTAGAAAGATTTAGGGTCTGGCCATGAGTAATGAAAATGTCATTATCACTACACGCAATTGGATAACACCACGACCGCTACGAAACACACTACGAAAAAGCCAACTCATTCATTGTAGCGGCCAAACAACTGGTGTTCATCTGTAGCCATCTTAATGTTTACTGACTGATTACGGACTTCGTCGTCGCAGCGATGTCGTCATCTGTTTAGCTGGCCTCTGGCCCGCCTATATCAGATACACCGATGTGATTGGTGCAGCTCGGTTTCATGGGCATAGGTAATGAGCATCAGGTTCGTTCGAGATGAGCCAGTCCTGCGCAGATTCGATCACCGGCGATCGGCGCACAATGCATGCCGGTTAGTTTTGTGTCCGACTTCATCCCGACTTGCTCTGACGTATTACAAAAGTGGACGGCGATAAAACTGTGAGATTTAGGCGTTCGCAGTTTTTAGAGCCAGGCGTTGCAGTTGCTCTCCACCGACTGTACCGCCTGACTCTCACCTGATCTAACAGCTGATTGGTTTAGACGTCGACTCAACAAGATGACGTTTTAGATAAACTACTCATTTTTGTTGAATTCTAGAGATTAAGATTGTATTTGTCTGATCTGAAGGTTTATTCTGTGAACAGAAAACATGTTGTGTGACTGATGGTGAAAACAAACTGATATATGGGTCTGATCACTTTTTTAATTAACTGACATCATTCCAGACAGGATGTAAGTGTGTCTGTGACTTCCTGTACAGACTGAAGGCTGCTGGAAAGTGTCGGGAAACTGTCCGACTTCACCGCAGCTTTTTGTCACCGCCCCCCGCTGCGGCCGCCTGCTCTCTTCTACTTTTCAGGCGAGGCGCAGTTCATCTCGAACGAGCCTATCATTACTGATTGCCAGAGTGACTCGCTGAGCAAATTCAAATTGTGCTCTCGCGAGAACTCTGGATTTCCAGGGAAGATAACTCGCACAATTAATGACTAAACATATTTTCACATTGGCGGAAGACACACCTGCAAAGCCTCTGCATCGGTGTAGTCAATTAAAATAAAAAATCACATGAAATGTGCGAACCGGGAAATTGATTTAGGCGCACAGTGTGCGAGTAAACACAACCTACTGTTTACCATAATCAGCATCGGGCGTATTTTCATCGATAACCGATCAAATAAATGTATTTTAAAACTCGCTCCTTTGGCTCTGATACAGCCGTCTCTCTCCCTGCTTGCAGTCACCATTGCACTGGGCTTTGTAACAATGTCCCGCCTACAGCCCCCTCTGATTGGTTACACGGCACAAGTGATAGCCAATCAACACTGACGCCTGTGCATGCTTTCACATCATGTTACATTGAGACACAGAGCACAGACGGAGTGGGAGAGGCTCCGGTAAGCCAGCGGTAATTTTGAAGGTAAGGTAACAGAAACCAGACAGAAATGAAAGTTGCAATAAAAATCTTTTATGCTGAAGTTTTAAAGTCACCACCACAACATTATATGATCCATTTCAATGATGACATGCTTGCCCAGAGGCGAAATTTCGACGTAACTACCTGTGTAATTCACATCAAGCGCGTTACACATTTTGCAAACAGCCTAAATGATTTAGCTTCTACAAATAAATAGCACCAAGGCAGAAAGGAGATGTAGGAGCTATAAATCAAAACGTCTGGTAACCACTGAAAGTTTAATCTTTATTTATAAACTCATTATGCTATAAACGTTTAACCTGAAAAGTAACTACGAAAGCTATAATCTTTTTGTTCGTTTTGATAATAAACACGTTCCTTTGCAACACATACATTTCTATTTCTTCATTTTGTGACCGCAACACCAAGCCCCCCGCTCCGGAAAAGATTTCAGATTTCAGGCACACAAATCTTCCGTGCTCCACATTTCAGGCACGATTTTTTTTCTTGCTTTAACCCCTGTGAAATACAATGACGCTGCCTGATGATGTCACCCGAGGCACTCAAACCATGTGACAAAATCAAGCAGCAAACAAAAGACAAAATATGCACATGTACTCAAACATAATCCAGCACTTCTATGTGAAAACATGCACATGTGCTTGACCCAAGATAATAACTTAAAAATAAAACTAATAACCCAAACGTCAAATTAATTGGACTGCACTGAAACTTAAGAATTCACATCCAGTGATTCACAAGAACACATGTTTACATGCATTACTACATATGCTAAAGCCTTTGTAAGCACAGCCACTGAGGGCCACTGAGGGCCACTGAGGCGTGACAGCTGTCCTCTCTATTCTGCTTGTCTTGCCTTTTGTTTTCTGTCTCAGCTTTGTCGGCCTTTGCTCTGTAAATGACAGCAGCACACACCTCTGTTACTCTGTTACAAATACCAAAGTGACCTGTCACTGACAGGCATTTGATACTATGTCGTAACATTTTACAAATACCAGGATATGACTCATTGACTGCGGATCAGTCTTGGACTGCAGCGTCCATCTGTTGTGCAGTGACAGCTTGTTTTATTGTGTACAGTCAGAAAGACACACACGCACAGGCCAAAGGTGACAGAAGAATGAATCAACAGGGCAGGCGCTGTAGATGATGCTGTCAACTCATGACAACACACACATACACATTCATAAACTGACATGAATTTATCTGTCACTGGATACTGTGAGGACATCCCAACAAAGTACTCCTTCCAATTATCAGTAAATAATCTTAGAAATTTAGTCTTTCCAATTTAAAGACAAAAACCAACTGAGCCAAAACTTCAGGGGAGAATTCTTCTTATCTTTCTGTTTATGTAAAATAATTTGTTTTTGTCTTTTCTAGTCCTTGATGTACAGCAAACACACACACACACACACACACACACACACACAGGGTCTCATATATCAGTAAGCTCAGGAGGACAGAGCACTGACTTTTAACGCCAGAGGGCTTTTTGCCCTTCACAAATCTGTGTCAGTGATAGTGTGATCACAGGGGAGAGTTGAAATGGCCACAGGCTGCAGCAGGATCTAGTTTCTAGCTCGGATAGCTTGACAGGGCTTTGTTGGGACTTGTGAAGTCATGTGAGGTCATTCACTGGCATGCAGTCTTTGTTTTCTGGATAGCAGAGTTATAGTTTTAGTAGACCACCCAAAAAAGCTCCAGGGCAGTATGAAGAATATTACTATTATTTCTCTCCATTTGTGACACAGGCTCAGCCCCATTAATAAACCATGAGCTCACAGCTTTTGGGTTTGGTTGCCGTTTTTATGCACCAAAACACTGTCGAATTTTGGATACCTGTTCATGTGGAAATGTTGATAACATTTTGTGACATTTACAGTGAATCTAGACATGGTCTGTTACAGTTGTTGTTGACAGTCTGGAGATAAAATCATGCATGCGTGGTGATGTTAGGTTGATTTTTAATGATTGTTAAACATGATGGGACACATTGGAACATGTTCAGCTTGTTAAGTATTTACAAATCAACTCAAAGGGTCACTGTTAATGTCACATTACAGGAGAAATAATGATTTAAATAAGACAAGTCCATTCACCTCTAACTATTTTTGTTGCCCATGGATCTCAATCCACTATCTCATGCAAATGTAGTCTATTTTTTACCTTTTCATACCAAATTGCGGGCAGCTGTGGCTCAGAGGTAGAGCAGGTCATCTACTAATCAGAAGATCATGTCAAAGTATCATTGGGCAACATACTGTCCCCCAAATCGCTCCCCATGGCTGTTCATCGGTGTGTGAGAGCTTGTAAATGATGACTGAGTAACAGGTGGTACCGTGTATGGTAGCCTCGGCCACCAGTGTGTGAATGGGTGAATGTGACATGTAGTGTAGAAGCGCTTTGAGTGGTCAGAAGACCAGAAAGGTGCTTCACAAGTGCAGTCCACTTACAACCTACCATTTACCATCTATAAATTAGCTAAGCGCACTGTTTTTATTGGATATCCCTGTCTGTATTGGTTCAGTAATGCAAAGAAACAAGATATAATTCGTGTTCTTACAGGATTTTTAGTGGGCTACCTGGTGATGCAGCTCTAATCATAGTCTACCTGTTGTTCAGTTGTAGAAGTCATTGTTAAAGACTAAAGAAGTATTCAGATTGTATCTAAGGCTCATGTTGTTGAGTTTATAACAACATCTTGTATTAAACTCCAGATAAAAGATAAAATCCAGTTTCTCTATCCATCAAAAGGAGTGTCACATGAATCACTTGCTTTCACAGTGTGCACCTCATTGTTTCCCATCACAAGTATTTCTGGCAGACTTGTGCCGTTTGAATTATTATCCTCTTGCCTGATGTGCAGGTATTTCTTTGTTGGATTTATTTACAGTTAGTTTCTTTTATATAGTTCCTATTTGAACAACACAGCATTCCCAAATTGAAGTTTAATGTCTTAAAAGTGTTTCTATTCACTGCCAGAGAAGTTTTGTATCACTTCCAATGCATTGTTCAACTCGACTTGACTCTTCTCACTTCACTTTTGCTACCAGAATCCATAATCCAGAACTTGTGTTCAAGTCACATTTAGGTCATTAACAGCAACAAGAATCTAAGATGTGTAACAGTAGACACCTCCAATAAATGTATCAATATGCAATAAGAAGACCAAACTTTAGTTAATCAAAACTTTCTTTTCCTCCTCCTCCCTGCAGGCTTGACGATGGGTTGCGTCAGGAGTAAAGAGGACAAGGGCCCGGCGTTGAAGTACCGACCCGACAACTCAAATGCCACACCAATCAACGCCCACCTGGGCCACTACGGGCCCGACCCCACCCTGATGGGTCAGTCACCAGCTATGAAGACACACAACAACAGCTACAACAGTCACGCTGCTGCCCTCACACCGTTTGGCGGAGCATCTTCGGTCATGACGCCCTTTGGTGGGGCCTCCACCTCCTTCACCTCGGTGGCTGTAAGCAGTCCCTTCCCCAGTGTCATCACAGGTCAGTTTGTGGAGAAGATTTAAGGGCTGCAGTCAAATTGTCTTTTTTCTTTTCTTTTTTTTTTTTTTTAATTAGGAAGGTGAAATGAGTGGCAGCCATGATAAGAGCTGGGTGAAATCTCTAAATGTTAAAGAAAGGGCTTCAGTGCTTCTTTTCTTATCTCCTTCATCATAGGATACACTGAACTATCCTTTATGAAAGGAAAGGAGTTAATGCCGTCTCACACCTCCTTGCTGCAGCAACATTTAGGTGACCCTGTCCTTGTATAGCCAAAATGAGAGCTGTGTCTGCATACTCAGCACAAGTCAAACACGTTTTCAGTGGATGTGGGTCTCTGCCAGGGTTGTCCCTCGTCACTATTTCTGTTTGTGATATTCATGGACAGGATCTCAAGGCACAGCCAGGGGGAGGAGAGTGTCTGCTTTGAGGACTTAGAATTGCATCTCTGCTCTTTGTAGATGATGAGGTTCTATTGGCGTCATCACACCATGTTCTCCAGCATGCACTGGGGTGGTTTGCAGCCGAGTATGAAGTGGTTGGGATGGGAGTCAGCATCTGTAAGTCTTAGACCATGGCTTCCTCCCTGAAAACGCTGGTTTGCCCCTTCTGGGTTGGAAGAGTTACTACCCCAAGTGAAGGAGTTCAAGTATCTCAGGGTTTTGTTCATGAGTGAGGCTAAAATGGAGCCTGAGATGGATCTGTGGTTTGGTGCAGCGTCAGCGGTGAGGCGTGTGCCGCGCCCGACCATTGTGGTAAAGAAGTAGCCGAGACGGAAGGCAAATCTCGAGATTTACTAGTCCATCTACGTCCCAACCCTCACCTGTGGTCATGAGCTTTGGGTAGTGACTGAAAGAATGAGATCGCTATCTTTGATAGGGTGGTTGTGTTCAGCCTTAGCGATAGGGCTAGGAGTTCAGACATCCGGACTGAGCTTGGAGTAGTGCTGCCGATCCTTTGCGAATGGAGCTAGTTGAGGTGGTTAAGGCATCGAATCATGATGCCTCCTGGGCGCCTCATGTTAAAGGTTTTCTGGGCACGTCCACTGATGAGGCCCCGGGGTAGACCAAGAACACGCTGGAGGGATTATATATCTCATCTAGTCTGGGAGCACCTTGGGTTCCCCCAGGACGAGCCAGAAAGTGTGGCTGGGAGAGGTATGTATGGAGTACCTTGCTCAGCCTGCTGCCCCCACGACCCGGCCCTGGATAAGTAGATGAAAAATGGATGGACTTTTCTACCTCAGCCAAGGTTTCAGAAGAAGACACACAGGATCAGGAGCAAGGGAACATGCATATTTCAGAAAAAAAGGCATTGAAAGTTTGAACTGAATGAAATGTCCTTAATTATTCAAATAAATTCATATAACTTTGGGTCCCTGTGCCCCTTCAAAGAAGAAACAGAAATGTAAAGCTGTTTTTAATAGAACCCAAAATGAAGGATTTAAATTAACTCAGCTAACAACTGAAACTAACTGTACATTCTGTTGTCATTACGTTTAAATCAGTGTACAACTTTAGAATAAACTCTGCTCAACATTTGTTATGCACAGCAGATGTTATGCAAATGAGACATTTAAAATGAGTCAGCCGAAACATCAAGGCCAAAGAGAAACCCAAAATAGGTCTGTAATATGGGGAGTAATACAGCAGACGTGGTGTTGCCAAAGCCAAAGAAAACAATTATATGCACTGACTGTAATGGATTTAGTAGTGCACATGCACAAGTTTTCATTTTCAATAGTTTGCTCAAGAGGACTTTCTGATTATTTGTTGCTAATGAAATGACTTTTAGTGATATGAAAAGTTAATCTCATGCAGTTTCAGGTGCGACATCACAGATCAGATGGGTAAATTATGCAGTAAATATTCAGAGCAATGAATGATGTTTTCTCTCAGAGCACACACACACACTCATACACTCATGCACACACACCTCCCTCTTTGCTCTCAAGGACGATAATCTGGCCTGAGGGGCCGCTGGAGATCTAATCCTGCCCATTCAATTTCCTCCTTGAGATAAACATATCAGAGTCCTGTTGTCTCTCTGCACTCTGTCACTTCAGATCAAAAACAAATCAATTCTTTTCATTATATGAAAGAGATTAAGTGACACCAGTTTGACTTGAAGTGATACCAGCGTTTTAGAATTGTGAAAGAAATATCCTGTTTGCCCTCATGTGTTCTTAAAACAACAGTAAAAGAGTTCGTTGTATTTTTAGTCCAGGCCCTGAGGTCTGGAAGTGGGGCATTTCAAAAGATATTTTCAACATAATAAATGCTTGTATTCTGTGGTATAGTCTTGGATGTACTGCCATAATTGCTTATTAATTTGTTTGCCTGACTCAATGAGACCTTTACTAAAGTGGGAAATATTAAAAAAGTAAGAAAGGAGGAAAATGAAAATAAGTATTTTGGTCTTTATTATGTGAAGGTCGAACGTCACGATCAAATGAATCCAACAGCTTCTTGAGGCTCTGTCGTATGAAATATTCCTTGTATGTATAATACACACCTCTAACGTTCAGTTTCTCTCACTTTCAGGCGGTGTAACATTTTTCGTAGCACTGTACGATTATGAAGCAAGGACGTCAGATGATTTGTCATTCAAAAAAGGGGATCGCTTCCAGATCATCAACAACACGTGAGTGCATTTGCTTTTTTACATTCATACACTCCTGCTGTGGTGACATGTGTGTACATGGGTGTGTGTGTGTGTGTGTGTGTTTAATCCCTCATTGTATTCAGGTCTGATATTAAGGCAGAAATCTGTCTGGGTTAATGGGTTCCTCTAATGGGCCATCTGTTTAGTCCCCATCGCTTTGCTCCCGCCACAGATCACTCCTCTAGTTCAGTGTTTTTCATTTGGGTTACAGTGTAAAACGTGGCACTCTTTCCTCAGTTAGTAAAATACAAGCAATGCTCACAATAAAACAGAAGTATAGTACCAGCATTTACAGAATTTGCATTCAAAGACACCAACAGTGCACTGAAAATATTCTTAAAGGTCAAATGCATAAAATTATTAGAGTCAATTGACTTATTTACACCATTGCTCATTTTCCTCAGTTTCCCTCTTTGCAATTTGGACCCTATTTTCCCATGTTTTGTGTCGATGTGACTCATGGGAACAACAGTTTTGACTCTGGTTCAGTATTGAGTGAGAGGGCTGCAGGCGACATCCGCAAAACAGGCTGCAGTGTAAACGCTCGGGGCAATATGCACCCCCAATGTGCATTCACTAAAAGTGCTTGGTTTTGCCACTGACATGCTCAGATCATTATTGTGTCTGATGATATTATGGAAAGGATCCCTACAGAGATGGACCTTTTTGTGAAAGAGAAAGATCTTTTTTATTAAACCAGAAACAGACCGGAAATTGCCGTCGCCAAGGCCACCAGACACCATTTACAAACACATTGATTTTAGCGTCTTTAGAGCCAGCATCTGGGTGAATTAAGGGTTTATTTCAAGCCGACCAGAGTTGATGGTGCTTGGGATAGTGGAAAGACAAACCAGGATAGTTGATGTTTATCTAAAACATGGGAACATGGGATCCAGGATGACAAATACGAAGCTTACCATTTAAGAGAATATTGTTGTAAACCATGAGTAAATTTCAGCCAGGGCAAAACTCAAATCCCTAACTTTGGTCTTGTATGGGTGTTGGTTTCAACTTCATCCACAACATACAATACAATAAGTATAACGTGTCGTTTATTTCTAAAACAGAATTAAAGGTAATAACAAAAATCATCTATTTCTCGGGTGTGCACAGGTGTGAAAATAGGCAGAGCTCCAAGTGCTCCACACGAATTCTGTTCTCGTCATTCATCACACACGTCTTCAGCCGCTGTCCACGAACACGTTGCGTTTGCAGTGATAAAAATGACATCTGCTTTTAGAGGCGAGATGGGAGGAGGACAGATTTGCTCAGTTCTACAAAAATGCAAATGCCAGCAGACAGATTTTCCCCACACCTCAGTTCCTCCTCTTTGAATTCAGGATTGAACATCTGCTGTTAAACATATCAGGAAGTGTGGTGACTGGTGTGGGTCCCATACATGCGGTATTTTATTTTCTTTAGCCTTTGGCGCAGATTTTTTCTACTGGCCTGGTGTTTCTGAAGGCTGGAAAGTGAGTAATTTAGCTTTTACACTGTAGGGTATCTATGAGCATTAACTTTCATTTCAGTTACAGTTACTTAACATCAGTGGTGGTAATAAGTTCATTTACTTAAGTGCTGTGCTTCAGTACAATTTTGAAGTACTTTACGAAGGTATTTCCATTTTGGGCTGCTTGTAAACCACCACATTTGACAAGGAAATACTGTACTTTCAGATTGAGATTTTACATTAAAACACATAACAGGCTTATAAAATGTGATGATGGTAAAACCTACTTGTGGTCAACGAGCCTCAGTTGTCCTTACTTGAATATTGTCTCTTACAACACCAATCTGGCATCAGAGAAAGTCTTGGTACAGCTTGTATGAATTGTTACAAACATATGAAAAACTTAGAATAACATTTTATTCACTCAGTTTTATACCACATGTCCCCAACGTACAGAATCACATGTAATTACCCCACCAGGGAGGAGGCAAAACAGTGTGTAACCCTTGGTGCAGACTGTTTACCATGGGAGTCAGGAACATCAGCAAGGTCTTCGTCTTACCTCTGGACACCCGGAGCCTCCTCACGTACAGCATGCCAAGTGTGAAGGACCTTTCAAAATACCAAACCATGACAATGCACAAATCATGCATACCTGTACAAAAAATAAAAAATCAAGGGTCAGAGATGCATTGGTTCATCTTTTCTTTTTAGATCAGGGGCCATTTTTCCACAGAACAAGCACTTTTAATACTTTGAGAACATCTCGCAGATGATACTTTTTTGCTGCTATTTAAGTAGTTTTTGTGCAATTAATTTGAATGGTAATACATTTTTTTTCAACTGTTGTTTTTGTCATGAGTACATTCACACAGAATGTGAGTATTGCAAGGCAGATAAGTGATGTAATTTTTTTCTAAACTAAGTCAACCTGTGCGTTCCATTCCCTATACCACCATACTATATAGTATGCCAGAAAAAGATTTGGTATGTCCAAATACAGTATACACAGTATGTCACATTGCAGTATGCTAGACAGCATGCTTTTCTGGCTATTCTGACCCACAATCCTCTGCGCAGCGGACGATGCGTCACGTTGACTGAGCTGCAAACAGATGACAGCTTGTCAACTCATTGACAGCTGTTTAATAGTTGATTGACAGTTGTCAGAAGCTGCAATGATGGATGACAGAGCATTCAGGTGACTGATGACCATTCAGTTGGTAATAACAGGAATATTAATTGTTTAATTGAATGAAATAATCATAAATATAATCAACAACAAAAGGGCATAAGTACTAAATAAGAGAAGTGTGTAGCCTTTGTAATTTTACCATTGTGAATATAGTATGTTAGAATCTACAATGTATGTAGGTATAACATTGCGAAATAACATTAGAGCTGTCTGGGTTGATCTCCATCTCTGGCGATCTCGGTGAATAACATTTTGCTTTATCTCCATGGTAACAGAAATATGAGTAGGAGGGTCTAAGTTAAGGGCACAACATTATGAGAAAGCAGTATGTCCCGATTGTGTGCATACTGCATGTAACAGTACATACTTTTTAAGGGCAGCTGCAATACATACTAAATTTTTTTTAAAAAGTATTTGACTTGGAACACACCAATTTTTTTTTACCCTGATTACAGCATCAACACTCTTGTTTAGTTTAGTTTAGTTTAGTTTATTAGTTTAGTTGACAGGGACCATGTACAGAACAGGTTCTATACCAGAGTTAGCTTAATAGCTAATTTGCATCTGTGGTCCCTGGGCAGGAAGTTAAAAAGACAATAAAACACATTCTAAACACTACAGACAATATCAAAAACAAAACAACAGTATCAACAACATTACAGAGGAAACATCATACAAAATACATTCTATATACAAAGATCAATGATCTCATGATTGATTCAAGCAAGTCCAGTTGCCTACAGTATGGCACTTAGTAACTCAATAAAGTAGCTGACGGTAGCTCACACTATACAGCAGCTTACCTCAGACAGACTGACTGTGTGCTCCAATAGGATCCTGTCGTTGGTCCTCTGCCTCCTCAGAAGCCGCTCTAGCATCCGCAGAAGGACCTCAACTGTTGGCCTGTTTTTTTGAGGAATGTGCTGGTGTAAAATCTATTTGAGTGAAGTGTTGCAGCTGTTGAAAGTTTGCATCACAGCCGACAAGAGTAGTGTTAAGGAGAAACATTTGAAGACGAGTATTTCACATTTTTATGTTGGTTATCTTTGGCACCCTCGGTGTGAGTAGGCCTTTAAGCATCTTAATACCTCCTCCACCACTGTTTGATGTGATGACTTAGATTTGTGACATGGTTGAATGACGTGTGAGACGACCTTATTTCTCTCTTGTCTGTATAACACCCGCTGTCTTCATTTTAGCGTCGGTGTATTTTTCAATCCTGCTTTTGTGAGTTTCTGTATTCTCATATACGTCTCTTTTCAGGGAAGGCGACTGGTGGGAGGCTCGCTCCATCAACACCGGACAGAAAGGCTACATCCCCAGTAACTACGTGGCTCCAGCCGACTCCATACAGGCTGAAGAGTAAGAGCTCAATACCTTTTTCTAACACTCTGTCTCTCCCTATCTCTGTCATCCTCCACAGTTGTTCAGTTTTTTCTTTCAGTTTTCTTCCTCACATTCCTTTCCTGTTTCTCACCCTGCTCACTTAGTTCTCCTCTGATTAAGAAGACATGATGCGGCTGGGAGGTCACGCATTGTGACTAACCCATCATGTAGCGACATTGCAGAGAGTCCAAACAATGGAGCCCTGTATTGTCGTTGAGAGCTGGTGGCATTCCCATTGCTGTTCATCTGGTGTGACAGAAACGTTAAGGGACTGCGATGCTGCTTTGACACAGTTTTGGCCTGGTTTCTCATTGGCTGACAGCCATTTTTACTCGTACTAGATGTTTAAATGACTCATAAAAAACCCTGTGTAAACCAGCCAGCTAACTTTGCCTTCAGTCTGAAAGAGTCAGTGATCAATAGTGTTTAGGATTTTGGTTCCTGGGGAAAAATGTGCCTGTGAGCTGAGACAATTCAACATGACTCAACTTGTAATGATAGCTTGAAAAAGACTAACTACTCTTTGGAAAAAAAGGGAAGAGAAGAGCTACATTTTAAGATTGTTTACAGCCTTTAGCCAGAGTTTTACCTAATAATTCATAACCCTAATAGACATTATATGTAATGGAATAAGCTAAAGACATATTTCTTGGAGTAGAGATAATAGTAAGCTATGATTATAAGGATATGGTCTAAATGATTTGGACTTAAATGACAGTTTAAGCTTCTTAGTAGCCTCTGTCTGACTTTGAAGATAACCACATATGAACCACATAAAGAGTCCTGATGTTTAATGATTACTCACTAACATCCAGTAAATTTTATTTTCCTGTTCGTCTGTTTTTGATCTTTAACTTGACGACTTCACAGACTGGGATTTAGCCAGAGAGTTTCCAAATATCCAACGTCTTAATATGCCATACTCTTCCTGCATGAATAGAAAAACCCTACTTGTTGTGCAGCACATCACAATGAGAGCTCCTCCTGTGCCTGTCTGACTCTCTTTCTCTGTTCGTGCAGATGGTACTTTGGTAAAATGGGCCGCAAAGATGCAGAGCGCCTCTTATTGCTTCCAGGGAACCAGCGGGGCACTTTCTTGGCACGGGAGAGTGAGACGACCAAAGGTAAGAGGATTTATTTCTTGAAAGCACTACTGTAATGATAAGCCTGCAGTGTGGATATACCATAAGGCAGATGAAACTTTTCTTTTGTTCTCGCGTGAGCTATGATTTTATTGCAGCCATATGTTAATTTATATGGAAAAAAACATGTTTTTAATGTCGGTTGGAAGTTAAATGTGTTTTTATATTTATCTGTGACGTAAAATAAAAGCCTGAGATTGATTTTAGAGGGTTTTTGTTGCACACATCACTCTTAATCTCTCTGTCTTTTGAAAGGTGCCTACTCCCTGTCTATCCGGGACTGGGATGAGGTGAAGGGAGACAATGTCAAACACTACAAGATCCGAAAGCTGGACAACGGTGGTTATTACATTACCACACGGGCCCAGTTTGAGACACTACAGAAGCTCGTGAAACACTACACAGGTATGCAGCCCGTCTGCGTGACCCCGCAAACATCTTATTCTCATGCAGGAAGCATTTAGACAAATTGTTGTTTACAACTAGAGAACCTCTCTGACTCGAAGCAAGTTTTTTTTTTCTTCCTCATGTTTGGAGTGTGTTTTCTGGACAGACTTGCCAGTGTTTGTTATAGTCATTTATACAGTTTGTATTTCAGCCAATGAATTCAGTGCTCGCAGTAGAAGATGCATTATTCAGCTGCAGATCTGCTGCTCGGATATATATTGAATATGTTTTACAGAGGTTGCTCTCGCTGGCACGGTCGCAGAGCAGCTATCACAACAAAGCAAAACCATGTGAGACTTAAGCCAAAAGAGGCATGGATATAGAAATCCCACATATCCCATAAAAAACAGTCTTAAGCCTGCTGTAATCTCTGCAATATTGATAGACAGGCAGCTGTTCCTAACACACATCTCCCCCAACACACACACACACACACACACAGATGCAGGACAAACTGTTTATTGAAAACTTTACAAGAACACAGTCAACCTCTCCCAGAAGCAGACTCCATAAACAAGAGGATGTTTGTTATGTGGCTCTTTAACATTTGATTTCAGGCCTGCTCCCGTCCACATAATTCATGTAATTCACTCACTGTCGTGCTCTTTATAATTGAGTCCTTTGTATTCCTCTAAGTGCAGCCTTTTAAACTCCAAGTGGGAAGTCATGCAGAAAAAGTTTATGACATCTTATCTGTTCAGTAGCTTGAATATAACAGGCTGGTTTCCCTTTGTGTGTGTGTGTGAGTGTGTGCGCAGAATGCCAATATTACATTTCACAACATGGTTAGCGCTGCTGCTGTCATCTGCATTAGGCTCCCGCTTCATCTGAGAAGGCTTCAGCGCCAAAAACAACCTCTTGATCTTTTGCTTTCTTACTGAAATTGAAACTAAATTGAGTTCAGCATGGTTCATGTCATTATGGTGAAATTACCATAACATTTGATTATTGCGGGAACAGAGAATTGAAAGAAATAATAAATGATTGTTCTGGGAGGAATTAATGTGGAAATAGCGGGTCAACAGTTTTGTGCAATTGCTTCATTGTGGTTTGATTGCAGTTTGCTGCTGTTGTCATGTAGCTATGTGATATTTTATTCATTGCATGTTTACAGTCCATTTACCATAGCGTGGCTGTGCTCACTGCTCAGATTGTGTGGTGGTGTGAATTAGCACACTGATCGCTAACAAGCTCCAACTACAAGCTCAGTCTTTTTTCTGTTTTCTTCACCCCCCTCTTTACATGTCTGTTCCTGTCCAGAACATGCAGATGGACTGTGCTACAAGCTGACAACTGTGTGCCCCACAGTGAAGCCTCAGACTCAGGGACTAGCTAAGGATGCTTGGGAAATCCCACGAGAGTCCCTCCGACTGGAGGTCAAACTGGGCCAGGGCTGCTTCGGAGAAGTCTGGATGGGTAAGAGACCATTACTGCTGTACTCCAGCAGACAGTATACGTTTCAGAAACACAAACACACACATCATTATTGTCTTGTGAAGTGGTTTATGAATGAACCTTGAGGCCACAGAACCCACTCCGAACAAATGTTTCTGCCATTAGTTTTTACTGTCTTTGCCAGTGCTGTGACATTCATCTGCACAGCCTCTGGAAATAAGTGGTGCTGGGTGTTTGGTGATTTAGGGTGCTTTCAGACCTAGAGTTGTCTTGCTTTGGTCTGAATCAGGGACTAATTTTGTTCCAAAGTTGCATAATTGCCTAGAGTTGGTTTGTGTTCTCACAGCAACTTTTACAAGAGGACCAGATCAAATGCCTTGCACGAGAAAGCTGCTCTTGATGTGTCAGAATTTCCATGCGGGAAAAATACAGGAAGTAGACAAAACATTGAAGAAGAGTACACTTGCAAGATAAATGTGACTCTTTCTAATGTCACAATGGAAGGACAACTACGCAGGTTGATTTTAGCGCTGGTCATCGTGGACTATATTGCTGTCATTGTTCATTTTAGTCAAACCATACAGTTTGAAAACGAGTCTCTGCTCCAACTAGAAAACAATGTTTTGATGCACTGGATGTGCTGAATGTGCATATTAAGGCAGTACAGGAGGAGGTGCACATTAATAATCCTCCAGGACTGTAACATGCTCATGTTTAACCCAAACAATGTGTCATGTGACTGCAGTTGGTTCAGATCGAGGTCAGAAAACGTTCTCGCCACAAACGAACTGCACCAGAGTTCGTTTGTAACCAGGCCGAGACCACCTCTTCAAGAAGGTCTCTGCCTGTTTTTTTTTTTTTTTTTTTGTTTGTTTGTTTTTGGGTTTTTTTTTGGGTTCACACCTGCCCAAAGGAACAGCACTTAGGGGGCAAATAAACTTGAGTTCGATTGGACCAAACCAAACAGGGCAGGTGTGAAAGCACCCATAGTGACTACTTGTGCTCTCGGTAGCTAACTGGACAATATTACAACACAGTTAACTAGTCTGTTCAGGATTTTGTCGGCTTTTTTTAGGATTGTTGCGGCCTAAAATGCCTGATGCCTTTTTTTAAAGAATTGCGATGCATGTTGAATGTTTTTTGGCATTTTTTTTGCAATGAAATTGCAGGAGCAAGTGAAATTACAAAAATAGTTCCAATTATTTTTGTATAATTCATTGAAAAAAAGGCAACTCATTCCAACTCACTCCAAAACACTAGTTGGCGGCAGAGTTTCTATTAAGTGCTGTAAAGTTTAGTTGATTCGATGCACGCCCAAAACACACTTAAAGCACACATTAAACATGGCTTAATAGAGACAATACATAAATAGGCTTCATTATAACTCATAGCATTCATACAACATGCTAATGTATTTAGCACAAGTCTATGGCATTTTACATTGTATGAATTAGCCTAGCGGCTAGCAGATTTTTTTCACTACTCATATGAAGCCGGGGACAACAGCAACATTTAAAAACAGGTAATGCTACAACTCACAAGGTTCACTGACAAAACAACTGTCTTATACTAAATATGTTTTCCAAACAAATATAACATGCTATTATTAGCATTAGACTGCAGCCGTTGAAGGTCGGCTACTCCTGACAGGACTCACTAGGATCAGCCTTGTCCTTCCTATGTCAGCAACACACATGCATGAATACACTCTGCTGTATTGATGTTTGATGCTAACACTGATCATGAATTAGTAAAGAATATGAACAACTGCATGGCCATACACTCACTCGGCCATTAGGCTTACATACAAGAACAAAACATCCGCTGTACATTATTCATAACTAATGTAAATTTAATGTCCAACAACTCAGAAGCAGTATATGCAAATTAACTGAATTAGTTTGCAGAATGACTCATTTGAGCTTAGAGTCGAGTGGGACTGACTTCAGTAAAGAGCTTGTCTTGCTGCCTCACTGGCCCACATACTGATGTAAATGCTGATTGCTGTTGGTTTACGCACACGCACACGCACACGCACACGCACACACAGCTCAGTAATCACAAGTCACCTCCCACGCTTCAGTTCTCCGGCCTGCATGTGAGACGGGGGCCTTTCAGTGAACACGACTCTCTTCTTTCATCACTCGGTCTTTCATTAAGCCTGGCCTGCAGCAAGCCTCGACCTGCAAGCCTCCGCTGTGCAATCCCAGGAATCCCTCTCTGTCTCTCCCTGCACTGTTTGCTCTCGATGGCTTTCCTGCTCAGCCACGACTTCTTACTAAAAGTCTCCTCCTTACTCGTGTTTGTTTAACATTTAGTTTTTAAACTGTATTGTACCGGCTTGTGCTGGTTAACCACCGTTGCTCTCCCATGCTCCGGCCAGCTCATATTATTGTTAGATATCATCACTGCCCTACTTTGTCCTTCAGCTTGTGCATGTGTGTAGTTTATTCAGCATGATTCATTCATGAAGGTCAGCCTTATGACGGAAGCAGTAGATCTCCTGCCTCAGCTCATTGTATGCAAGCAGGGCGTGAGTAAGTGGCTCTGGACCAGGAAGTGGCTGATTATTTTAGCTGTCCTGCTCTTTCTCTACTGAGCTACTCTTCACACATGGGAATACTGCCAGAGATCACAACAGCTGATTTTAGGATTGACTTTTCAATCACTTAAAAGGGGTCAAAAAGTCTTTTAATGTACTTTCAGTGTTATAGTGTGTGTCATTTAATGAATTGGAAATGCCCCAGATCAGTTATTTCCTCAATAATTCCTTTCAAGCTGCAGAAATGCAACATTGGTTTATGGTTTGCTTCAAACTGGAGTGATCATTTTTTTTATCATGTTTTATTCAGGCACATGGAATGGCACTACTAAAGTGGCTATCAAGACCCTGAAGCCGGGCACCATGTCCCCAGAGGCCTTCCTGCAGGAGGCTCAGATCATGAAGAAACTCCGACACGACAAACTGGTGCCTCTCTATGCCGTGGTGTCTGAGGAGCCCATCTACATTGTAACAGAATTCATGGGCAAAGGTAAGGACGGGACACTCTTACAAACCAGAAGTCAAGAATAAGCACAAGTTACATGTAGAAATGCATCATAAGACACGAGTGCACTTGTAACAAAAAATCTGAAAGTTGTAAATCAATTATATAGACTGAATCAGGTCAGTGCGACCTGGTAATGTGACTTCCATTGGTCACTTAGTCGCAGAAAACAAGGTAAAAAACCAAATGTGAAACTCTATTAGGAGCTGTGTCTTGTCAAAATAAATCAAAACCTATATCAAAACCACACAGACACAACCTGCCGTTGCGCTTTTAAAAGCTGGCACAAGAAAGGCACAAGAGTAGCGCCCAGCATCCGACCTCGCGTTTTCCAGGCTGTTAAAGACATGTGTACGGCCTCTAATTTCCAGGGCTGGTACCTGCGGTTATCACACAGGCTAGTTAATAACATGTTGGGCAGGAAATCCAAAGTGTGGGATCATTTTGAGAAGGTGAAGGACGAACCCAAGGTGATATGTAAACTCATCTTCATTGGTCAACTACAAACATGACGTATCATGTGAAACATGGAAGTAACTACATGCCCATTAGCCACTTAGCACAATCATTACTGCTTTGCCGGCTGCGTCATTAACAGGCGGCTCGCTCAGTGTGTGATGTGCACTTGTAGACAAAATATAGGCCTATATTAATGAAGGCTCATTAGTACGGTTTTGTATTTCTCTGTAATGTAGCACAGTGTTAACAATGTTACTGATACTATTCTTTCTCACACCTTCAACTCAAACTATTGTGTTGCCCCGCCCAAAATATATAATTTAATAATTAAATAAATATCGTAAACATGCGGCGACTAGTTGACTTATGGCCCTAAATGACGACTGTTGGATGACAAGGAAAGTTCTTAGTCGGGGGCAGCACTTTTTCAAACATAGTTCTTTTGACTGGACCACTGCTCTTTTAGTAGAGCGAAATTTGCATATGGCATACACAACTAAAGTGAGGCTTGTAATACTTTGATGTTCATCCAGTTTTCTTCTATATCTTGAAGTCCCCCCAGCACTAGAAATATGTTTTGCCTGTTGTTGCTTCCAGTTCAGACCAAATATTTGCCAAGAGACAAAACCATTTTGCAAAAACATTGCAGACAAAAGTTGCAGCGGTGTGAACTCGCCGGTCTGAGCTCGACTCAAGCCGGCTGATGTTGTCACCTGCAGCTCAGCTGGTCAAATCGCCAGCATGTCACCTGTTTCTGTAGCCAAGTGGCCTTTAGTGAAGTCAGCCGCTCAAGTCAAAAATGAAAATATCAATACATAACGTCATCTTTTAGATCCTCCTCTGTTTTAAAATTCCCAGTGCTAGCAGCCTAGCACCAGACAGATTGTGGCAAGCAGCCAAGAAAAATACAATAAGGATAATAACTGATATCATCTCATATCGATCACCTGCCTCTGAATAGAAAAGAATCTAAATGATATTGTGGCTGTGATTTTAGTATGCCTGTTAAACTGGATTAGAACTCTTACTATGATTCTTATTATAAGTAGAATGAAACTGGATTGGTTTCTGTGACCAATAATCATAAAACCGAACTGAACTTAATTAAAAAAAGACTCTTATGATCTTTGCAGTCGTGTTGCCTTTGAGTGGTTTTGGTTATTTGAATGTCTTCTGATGAATTTTGGTGTTGTGTTTGTGCGGCGGCCAGACAGACATATTGATTCTGCTTTACTCTTCTAAATTCTGACAGGTAGTTTACTGGACTTCCTGAAGGAGGGAGACGGTAAATATCTGAAGCTGCCCCAGCTGGTGGACATGGCTGCACAGGTAGGATCAAAACACAGAGCACAGAAAGTCATTTTGTCTCTTACCTGCCCAGCTGCTGTTTTAAATCTGTGAGAGAGATGGATTTTCATGCACCAGCAATAAAACAAAGAGAGCTGCATGTGGGCAAGCTCCCAGACGTGTGTGTGTAGGTGTGTATGAGTCAAATATTCAGTCCCTGTGAATAACGGCATCAGTTTGTTCTCCATCTGGCTGTCATATTTATTTAATATCCTACCTGACATTTCTACCCTCCCTCTCCTCCTCCCCCACTGTATGTGCCTCCCCTCATTCTCCACCACTTAACTGCCACTGTGGCACTTAAACACTGCACATCAGAGGCCACTTAAGCTTGCTGGCTCAGTCACATACTGTGATCTGCTCTTAATTCGCCTCTCCGAGCTCCCAGGCTCCCTCTCTTCTCCTCACTCAGCAGAGTGGAAAAGTGTTTGAGAATTAGACCATGGCGGGTTGAAACCTTGAGGTGCCCCCGAGGGACCTGACAGCCAGCGTAAAGAGATAGTTGTGGATAGCTGTGTTAAAGATTGGTCCAGTTGTTGTTGTTGCAGCTGCATATGATCTGTTTTCTTTTTGCCTGCATTAATCCCTCCTTGACTCTGTGCTTTGGTTACATTTTCTCTTTGTTGACCCCTGTCTGCCTGTCCAATCCTGTCTTAGATCGCAGACGGCATGGCCTTCATTGAGAGGATGAACTACATCCACAGGGACCTGAGAGCCGCCAACATCCTGGTGGCTGATAACTTGGTGTGTAAGATCGCCGACTTTGGCCTGGCTCGGCTCATCGAGGACAACGAGTACACCGCCAGACAAGGTGTGTGTTTGTAAGAAGTGGACACATGCGGGTTTGTGTGTCTGCATTTGTGAGGACTTGTGTTATTATAAATAGACAAGGGATGTATTCTGAGCCCTTAACGCCTACTCAGGACCTTCAATTTAGCTCTCACCATGACGACAACACTGGATTTACAGCTGTAACTGTTCAAGCAGAAATGCCAAATATTTACTAGTTCCATCTTCTGACTTCTACTTCTGTTTTATCTTATGTGACAGTAAACTAAATATCTTTGAGTTCTGGAGTGTTTGTTGGCTAGACAAAGAAATTTGAATATGTCAGGTTGGACCTGATGAAGGGGTGATTGTGAGAATTTTTTGTTCTTTACTATTTTACATTTCAGTAAGTCAAACTATTGATTTATTAATCAAAAAGAGAATTAGCAAATTAATCAATGATGACAATGATTATCTGGAGCCCCACTGCCAGGTCTTACCTCCTGTAAGAACATTTTATCCGTACTTAAACTGGAGTATAAGAGCACACATTTCTGTCATCATCCAAAACATAAGTTGGCGGCAGGGTTTCTGTGAAGTGCTGTAAAGTTTAGTTGATTCAAAACACACATTAAACATGGCTTACTTGAAACTATTTCAAACACAAGTACACAACTCGCAGCATTCGCAGACAAAACACTTTGTCTTTTGCTGGAAACATTTTCCCCACAAATACAACATGTTAACGTTATTAGCATAAGCATTTTACATTGTATAAATTAGCCTAGCGACTAGCAGAGATTTCCTCTACTCATATGAAGCCAGAAAAATTCACACAAGACTTACAATGCTATTTAGTGGAGGCTTTATTGTCTTCACAATTTATTGTTTATCTGTGAAATTAAAGGGGAAAAAACTGTGTTTCCATTGAGGGAAATGGTTTCAGCCTCCAAAAATAGACAGGAGGTCTGTATCTCCACGATGAGTAGTCATTTTTCTGGGGAGGTGTATGTCAGGCTACAGCGTAGGTTACAGCATAGGCTCCATGTTGACGCAGACAGCTACGCCATAGGTACAGCATTAATTTGATGCAGAAGTATAAATCCCGCTAAAGGCCCCAATGTTCTCATAATTTATTGAGTCATCAGTCGATTAGCAGAAGATTAATCATCAAGTATTCTGAGAATCGCTTCATTATATCTGTCTTTTTTCAAGCAAAAAAAGGAGGAGGATTTGCTACTTTTTCCACTACTTTAAAGACTAAAATCTTAATAGAATAATTGAGAAAATGGGAGAAGGGTCCAGCTGCGGAGCTCCAGGCTCAGGCCCACCTGTTATCTAGGACTGTTTATGGTTTCAAGCTTGGAGAAGGAAGTCTGAAATTGTCTGCGTCCAGCAAAGACAGTCGTCAAGATAGCATGGCCTCATTAGGTTGAATAAGCCATACGCCCTCCACCAGTAATACCAATGTAAAAACAAAAATGCCACCTAATATTTCAGTGTAACTGTAACTTCAAAAGTACAGTAAAGTTAAGCAGCAAATAAATAGTACTAATCTTGCGAGTTTGTTTTAGCAAAACAATATGAAAACTTACTGAAATGATGCAAGTTTGCTAACAACATTAGCATGGCTAGCAAACATTACCAAACTTATAAAATTAGTACAAGTTGTTTGCTGCTTATGTTGTGTTATATAACTTTGTAAGTTACAGTTATTTCAAAACATCAGGTTGTATTGTTCACCTTGGTGTTATTGGTGGAGGGTGTGTGACATACAATACACTTATTTATTGACCATGAGCATGACAGACAACATGTACGTAGCTTAAACGTGAAACCAAACGAGATCAGTCAGCTGATAATAGCCACACTTACACGGCAGCATGGACTTGAAACAATGTATGAAATATACATTAAGTGGACTACTTTATTCATTAATGATGAGCGAAATAAAACAGTATACTGCGCTGTGTAATACAGTGGCATGTAAACGTTATTTATTGATAAGGAATCGTGATGAACACGTGCTTTTCCACCATGGGTCCTGGCAATGGAGATGGGCCTGAGCCTGGAGCTCTGCAGTGGGACCCTACTCCAGAGGGTTAATCACTACTGAAAATAGCCCTAGTTATATATATCATTTCAAAGCCTATTCCTTCTGCTTGACTCTTTTTTGTTCTTCTTTCCAGGTGCTAAATTCCCCATCAAGTGGACGGCCCCTGAAGCTGCTCTGTACGGCCGCTTCACTATCAAATCAGACGTCTGGTCGTTTGGTATACTACTGACTGAACTGGTGACCAAGGGCAGAGTACCATACCCAGGTAACGATAACAGCTTCATAGATATTCATTTTTACACTGGAGGTTGCCTTTTCCTGCCGTTTCTGTCAGTTTCTGGTTTTAAAGTTCCTCATTATTTGAATATGCTGCCCATGTCTTCTAGTTTCTTTCATGGAAAACGGGAATAATTCATTCTGCCTCAGGGTAATTCTGGGATGCCACTCATCAGCATCTGAAGCTTTAAATAGTGTTTTCTCACTCATGTAGATCAGAATACACACACAGGATACATATAGCTGAAATGAGTCACCACACATGTCTAATGATTTATCAGTGCATGGGAAAATACCACTTACTCTCTCACACATGATCTCCCTCTTCCTGCCGTCTGTCACCTCTGTCCTGACCCCTGGTGGTTGAGCACAGTACTGCAGAGGTGATGACTGTCTGACTGGCACTGATTACAGAGCGTGCCATATGGCAGACTTAACCACCATCTCTTGTAAAGGGCCATCTGGCTCCCGTGGACCTCTTGGTTTAGTGCAAACCGTCGGGTCTAATTATTCACCCCAGAGCTGAAGATTCTGGAAGCTGAACCCCCACTTTTCCCTTCTCAAATTGTGGTATGACTCACCGGACATTTGTGGCTCTTGTCCTGCTGTGCTGTGGAGCTGTATTTCTATTCTCTTGTTTGATAACGTAGAAGCAGTATGAGGCAGGTAAAGCACGTACCAAGCATGGGAACACATCATCTTTATTCTATTTTAGTCTGTACGTATATAGATACATACGCTCACTCATGACAGGCATGTTATGAGAGCGGAGAATTTCAGATCCAAGACATAAATCACGCAAACACCTCAGCATCCGACGCACCACCAACGCTATCATATCCTGGTCTCAGCAGTCGCTCTGGGCCTTTTCCTCTCCCCAAGTGTGTGAGATAATCTGATACCCACTCTCCCACAGAGCGATGGGAGGGTGGGGGGTGATGGAGCGGAGGCGGGGGAGGATGCGGTTGTGACCATACCGCTGTCTCTGTGTCATAACCTCTTTTAGCTGCAGTTGAGCTCCCCATGGAGCTGTTTCAGTGCCGTGTCACAGGGTTCAGGATCACTGTCTTCCTGTCTTGGGAAGGAATTCACGACCCCGCTGCTCTCGTGGGGCTTCTCCTTGTGTGATCATTAGACTTATGAGTATTTTAGCCAGAGACCACTGGGACATCAAATAATTTATAATTAGATTTTATTTCTACAAAATACTAACTGTGTTTTGCCCAGCATGTGTTTTGACCTTGAAATTGGCTGCAAGTCTTAGAGGAAATAATGACCCATGTTCCACCTAGGCTGTTGAAGTTTTTCTCCTTCATCGTTTTTCTTTAACACAGTGGTTTGCGTGGGCATTTTCTCTTTCCTGCTGTCAGCTGCATGATGCCAACATTTGCTACCGCTTCAGGCTGCAAACTAGGCTGTTTCCTAATCAAAACTTCTACCATTTTTTCTTGACTAGAAAACTTTGGAAAAATCCACTTGTCATAGGTTCTCTCAAATAACTTCTGTCAACCTACAGAGGACAAAGCCACATTGACATGATTGTCTTGACTGAACAAAAGAAATTCAACATATATTGACGATTTTGGGAGCTAGTTTTTCATTTCAAGGGAAAATTTGTCACCTCCTATGTGGATGTCAAATTAGTGTTGAAGGTAAATGTCGTCAATTGAACCAATAAAATCCTCCTGCGTGCCACAGCAGCAGGATATTTTTGTCCACAACGGTGCATTACCACTTTATTTCTAATGTTTTCTACCTTTCACAATTAAAGCTTACAGCTGCTTACAGCAGCATTTGGCGAAAAAGTTCTCACTCAGCGGTCTCAGGGTCCTCTTGGCCCTGCTGGTCTTGGTTGTCTTTTCCAGTTCATCTTCTGGAAGGTCTCCAGCAAGCCTCCGTCCAAGTGAGAAGTAAACTTTCGTGCTTAGTGACGCACACATGGACTCTCCGAGCGTCAGCGACAGCATCCAACAGGAACTGCCATTGTTGGCAGCAGAATGTTTCAGTTTCTGTTGGCATTGGGGAGCAATTTGAGCCAAAAGGTTCTCAAATGTTCCTGCTGGTCATTCCCTCTTAGGCAGCCACAGTGTCACCCTTTCTATGCTGCATTTCTTCGGACAGGATGTTACACTCCGGCTCGAAAAAATACAGTTGAATATCAGAGTTAGCCAAAACACTATAAAATGTATCATAACATCCACAACATCCTCTGCACTTACATTTTGGGATGCCATTTTTGCTGCTAGAAATGCAACTTGTTTGTAATATATGCAAAGAGCATAAGGATGTTTGGTTTTTAATGGCATCGAAGGCACGCCCTTGGTTACCCAAAGGCGAAGCCATCTTGTCTTTTTCCCTCCTTCCAACTACATCACTGTCACTTCGAATGATGGCGCTAAATGCAGGAAGAACACCACCATATTGCCCTTAATCTCTGTTCCTGCTCCTCTCATTGTCTCATTATTTTTTGTCCATTTCATCAATTTCCTGCAAAAATACAAGGAACTTTAGTTGTTATAGAAATGGCAAAATTAAAGCTACAAACCAAAATATTTTTAAAAACAAACTTAACACTTGTTAGTTATGAAACCAAGCATGTTTAGAGGTTGAATAACCTTTATTATAGGGAACAGCTTTAGCTTTTCACATGTGGATGTATCCTTGAGCAAGACATTGAGCCCCAGATTTAACTAAAGATTAGGTCACTGCCTCGCATCATAGCTGGCTTGTGTGTGCAAATGGACGAATTAGGCAAATTTTAAATACTTATGGATCAGCACACTTAACAAGTGCACTCCATTTAGTCCATTAACACCATATTCCTTTGTGTTTTTTCCAGGTATGGTGAATCGAGAGGTACTCGAGCAGGTAGAACGAGGCTACCGCATGCCCTGCCCACAGGGGTGCCCCGAGTCCCTCCACGAGATGATGAGGCAGTGCTGGAAGAAGGATCCAGACGAAAGGCCGACCTTCGAATACATCCAGTCCTTTTTGGAAGACTACTTTACAGCCACAGAGCCACAGTACCAGCCAGGGGACAACCTCTAGTCTGGGGGATTTGGGGGGCGAACTCTGGCATCACACAGAGGTACATCAGTGGAGAGCAAAGCTTGGGACAACAGAGGACTTCAACATGGGGAAAAGCCTTGACGAGGCTGCAGAGAAAGAGGTTTTAATGCTACAAACTAGTCTACAACCACACTGGTATATCTGCAAGAAGAAATTGTTTTCTGACGTAGAGGTTTGTCCCTTGTGTACGAGGGGACCAAATGTTTGGGGAAGTGTCCAACTGTGCAGATTGGTGCTGGTACGTTAAGCTCTGGGAACCTTGCTAATCAGAATAATCCATATGGACTGGCCACAACACTGTGATTTTAAAAAAAAAAGAGAGAGAGAGAGGGATTGTCTTCTAGTTTCAAATCAACGGCTACTTGCAGATGCACTTTTTTTTTTTTTTTTTTTTATTTTATTTTTCTTCTCTTTTCTTTTATATTGGAGTCAAGATCTTTTGTATGTACATGAGTTTGGTTTGAATACGTAGGTTGATAGGTGATTTTTGAAGTGACCAACAGCTGTGGTTGAGCTGTCAAGTGTGTGCAGCATCTGTAAAGCTTCGATGGAGGTGTGAGGCAAAGCAAATGAGAAGTGTTGTACTTTACAGATGAAAGAATGTACCGAGAGATCAAAGCAGATGTACATACAGTATGTGCAAACAGATGTATTTTTAGCAGGTGTGATCAGGTGGGTGAATGAGAACATGAGAAGACCTACAAATTGTATTTAGTGCGGTCACTTGAATGGGGAATCACGTCGATTTTATTGTGCTTTTGCATTTTTTTATTTAAACGGGGACTTAAAATCATAAAGAGGTATTTTGATAATATACAAGTGCGAAAACATTTTTCCTGTTTAACATTTTATAAATGTTTTGAAATGGACGTTTGAGCTGTGAAATTTAAGTTTAAGGTCATTTCTGTCTGAAATTAGCATCTTGTCTTCATTTCTGATTGCTGTAAAAGACTCTAACGTATTTGTACATATGTTGCACACATCTACACAGTTTAACATCACAGTAGGTGACTTATCCCGTCATAGATGGTCCAGGAAACTGTCACATCTATTAAACTGACATCATCGTGTAAATCATACATGCAGCTGTTTTGTTCTTTGAGTAAAATCCCTCGAAACTCTTGATTAACACTGTCAATGTCTTTAGTTCTGTGTCTGCTGGAGGGAAAGTTTAATCCAAAGCCAACAACACAAAACACATTCTTTAATTTGTGAATGCAACTATGCAAAGTCAACCAGTGTTGTTTCATGGAACAAAAACTCTACCGTGGTATTTACCTGTGTCGAGCTCCCCTTTATGGTTTTCTTACTTCTAGAGTGAAGTAAGTAGAACCGGACAGAACAAACACCTTGCACACGCTGTGGTCAGGTCAGGGCTTTCGTGCTTTTGTAGATACCAAGAACACAAAAGTCAAATAATTTCTTTGAGGTACTTCCACTGTCTGTCCAGCGGTATGATGGGAAATCTGAGATGTAAAGGCATCTTGTTATTGTCTTTTAATAAGTAAGCTTAGGGATTGGACAAAGATGTGAACGTTGTTTTGTATTTCTTTCTGTGCGTCACTCACAAGAACCTAATATGTGATTGTTCCTAAAGATGGGACTTGAACTAGTGGGGAGATGATAATGAAATTACTGAGAATGGTAACTAATATGATTTTGTACAGAAAAAAATAAAAGTTTTACTCAAACGTTTCCTTTAACTCTCTTGTTGTCACCAATTGACAATGATCCTCGTTCAGATTCAGGCCTGAGTTGAAGTATCGTACATTTCTTGGACAACTCATCCACCAACAAGCCCGGTGAGACGTGGAAAACATCTGCTTGTAACTTTGTAGACATTTTTAATTAACTCACAAGTTTTATTTGATTTCCATCCATGCATCTATTTTCATCTGCTTATCTGAGGCCGGGTTGCGGGGGCAGCAGGCCAAGCAAAGCACCCCAGATGTCCCTCTCCCCAGCAACACTTTCCAGCTTCTCCTGGGAAACCCCAAGGCGTTCCCAGGCCAGATAAGATATTAAATCTCTCCAGTATGTTCTGTGTCTGCCCCGGGCCCTCCTGCTAGTGGGACAACACCTCTAACAGGAGGCGCCCTGAACCACCTCAACTGACTCCTTCTGATGCGAAGGAGCGGCGGCTCTACTCTGAGCTCCCTCCGGATGTCCGAGCTTCTTACCCTATCTCTAAGGCTGAGCCCAGCCACCCCACGGAGGAAACTCATTTCAGCTGCTTGTATCCACGATCTCATTCTTTCAGTCTCTACCCAGAGCTCATGACCATAGGTGAGGGTTGAGACGTAGATGGACCAATAAATCGAAAGCTTCCGGCTCAGCTCCCTCTTCACCATGACAGTCCAGTGCAGAGCCTGCATCACTGCAGACGCCACACCAAATCGCTGACCCATCTCGTGCTCCATTCTACCCTCACTAGTGAACAAGACCAGAGATACTTGAACTCCCTTGCTTGGGACAGTAACTCTCTCCCAACCCAGAGGGGCCAATCCATTGGTTTCCAGCAGAGAACCATAGCTTGGATTTGGAGGTGCTGACTCTCATCCTGACCGCTTCACACTCAGCTGCAAACAGCCCCAGTGCATGCTGGAGGTCATGGTGTGATGAAGCCAACAGAACCACATCATCTGCAAAAAGCAGAGATGCATTTCTGATTTCCCCAAACCAGACCCCTTCCTCCCCCGGCTGTGCCTTGAGATCCTGTCCATGAATATCACAAACAGGATCGGTGACAAGGGACAACCCTTTGAGAACGTGTTTGACTTCACGCCAGATATGTGGACGGAGCTCTCACTTTGGTCATACAGGGACTGGATAGCTTGTTTTATTTTATTTGTTTTTATTTATGTACACCATTTGACAACAGGTGTGAAGTACATTTTCTTCTTTTTACATTCAACACACAGCAATGATTGACATGGTTCACTTGTAGTGTATTTACATTTCAACAAGATTATGCCAACTATACAGGAACACAATCTAGTTCTGTTCACAAAGAAAGTGCTGGTAGAAGTTTAGAAAAAGAGATGGTAGCTTTATTTGTCCTCATACCTGTGGAGGAAGAGAGAATGCATTTAGGTCAGAATTAATATTAGTAGAAAACATTGCAGCCAACTATCAGAAATCTCAAGCACTCTTTTTCCTGAAGCTTATTATTTAAAGAAAACGTGCCTGTTTTTATTTCAAGAAAATCTTAAGTAGGAGGACAAAAGAGTCTGGGGAAGAGAAGATGGATGACGTCTGTCTCTTTAACCCTGTGATGCCACTAGTGCATTATGGTCTAATGGAGGTCATTAAAGTTCTCACCTGACCATCTCCTTGTACTTGTTCAGAGCCTCCTGGGCCAGGTACTGGATGAAGGCTGGGTCCTGCAGCTCCAGTTCCCCAGGAACAGAGAGGAGAAGTGGAGGAGAGTTGAGGATGTTCACCTGCACCTTGGTGTCAGTCACAGACAGGTTCTGCTCATTGTTGGTCTTTGGCGCCACCTGGAGGGTAAAAGAAGACATGTCTTACACCAGCCACTGTCAGTCTCCAGTAAAGGAATATCTCGCCCACAGGTGTTTTCAATAGTAAGGTTTTAGTGAAAGTGCACGTGTATGGGAAGTACTGAGCATACGACTGGGACTTGGATTATAGTGTTGAAGCCCCCTTTTACTCCATCAAGAACTTTCTCTGTGGAGGCATGCGAGAAAGACAGTGTTCTTCACAAATTCAGCTTCACACAAGGTGAGGTTTTGATACAAATTCCCTCCACTCCTTCTCACCTTGGTGATGCGGAAGATGTTTTCAGGAGTGCTGTTGTTCTTCACAGCCTCAGCCACCCAGCTGAACTCAGCTGCCATGTTGCTAAGCCAATTAACTGTCTCATCAGTGTGGCGCTGGACAATAGACAAGATCTCATCATACTGCTCTTTGGACATATCCAGCAGCTGGGAAACCTCGTCCAGCTCCACGTGCAGCTCCCGAACACTCGGGCACTCTGGAGACAGGAAGAGGAGCTGTAAGATGTATGTAGAAGACATCAGCTGAGGTAATGACAAGCTGTAATGGTGGTGGTGCTTCACCTGTGAGCAGAGTCCCCTGGCAGGACTCACACTGGTTCTGCAGCTGCCAGCACTCTGAAGTCTGTCTGCGAAGGTCTCGGCACAACCTCCTGTTCTGCAGGAAACGGGGGAAACTTTGCCTCCCTACATCAAATAAAAGTGTTTAAAATTTAGATCAGTATTTTTGTCCATTGACATTGTCTTAAGATGTGTTTTGTTGGGTCAAGATATTCATGGAAAGCAACAAATATCATCTCTGTAAACTGGTTTTGGTGCCAAAGCCGGAGATATTTTATAAATTCACACATACAACCAGAGGAATCTGTAACTGTGGTATTTGTCTGACATATTTAGGCCTCACTGGCACCAGCTAACTGCTCAGTCCACTACCTTTTTTCTTCTCTTCCTCCACTGCCTCATGGATGTCATCGAACACCTGCGTCACCACAGCTCCAAACTCCTCCACCACACTCTTGCCGAAGTCAAAGAAGGAGTCCAGCACCTCCTCCAGTCCCACACCCTGCAGGAAGCCCGAGTCGCGGCTGGGGTCGTAGGGATCAGCTTCGGTCTCCTCCAATGGGATGTCGGTGTCGTTTAGGAAGGCTCTCTGGAGGGCTTTGTCCAGCTTGCTGCTCATCCTGGAGACCAGCGCCACACTGCGGTTCACCAGCATGCCCACCTTGCTGGCCAGGCGGTTGAAGGAATCCTCAATGCGGTCGACCTCAGTGTCGGTGGCATCAGGGCCCTGATTTACCAGGATGTCTCCTGCATCCATGGGAGGCTCACGGGGGCTGAAGCGCCTGGAAACTCGGCGGAAGAAGTTCTCGACCTACAGAATGAAAAGTAATGAAGGTAAGTTTGTTTTACTGTTGTCTCAATAACAAACTTAAGTTGACATTTTTTCTAATTTTTCTAATCTATTCTTGTTGAATATTGTAGAGTTAATCCTAATCAGACCTCAAAAAACTTTTCTAATGAAATATAATGTGAAGCAAAGTGAAGCAGTCTGTGTTAAGTTCAAGTGTTCACAACTCATAGATGTGATGAGGGGACAAATAAGACATTTCAAGGTAGTGGTTCTCAAACTTTTCTCAGTAATATACCCCCTTTGAAATTTTTTGGGCAATGATACTGCGAGAGTTTGGAGGTTCAAGTTAGAAAGTCAGAACTGTAGTTTTCATACCTTTGCATGGAAAGTGCCAAATCCCCTGCGGCACGTGGAGGTGTAGAAGGTCTTGCATGCATCCT